ACATTCTTGAAATGACAAAATAAACAGATGGAGAACAGATTAGTGGTTGCTGGTAGTTAGGGAGGGGACAGGGACGTAGGTGACTGGCTCTAAAAGGGTAGCATGAGGGATTCTTGTGATGGAACTCTTTTGTATCTTGACTGTGGTAGTGGTCACACAAATCTATACATGTGATAAAATTGTGTAGAATTAAACACACACAAATAAATGCATGTAATTGGTAAATCTAAATAGAGTTAGTGGATTGTACTAATGTTAATTTTCTGGCAGTTAAATATTGTACTGTAGATATGCAGGGTGTTACCACAGGGAAAACTGGGTAAAGGTTATACAAGATCTCTATTGTTTTTTATAACTGCATATAAAACTACGATTATCTCAAAGTTAAAAAAAAATTTTGTTTTTAAAAAGAAAAAATTATATCCTAAGTTCTAAATTGTGCCCTACAGAAGAGATTTGGGACACCATGGTCAATATGCTGTAACAAGGTTTGCCACTACCCTGGAATATGAGAATTGAGCCTGTAAGAATTGACTGGACGGCGTAGATTTGGTTTGCACGCTCCTAAGAACTGCAGATAACTCAGTTTAGTGAGGGAAGGGGTACTGTGGTGAGATATGTGAACCAAGGGCATTGAGAGTAGAGGAGTGCATGACCTCTGACCCTTTGGAGCAGATACCGTGAATCTTGCTCCCCTAGAAACACTGTCTCCAGGTGACTTAGAAAATCTTGATTATTGTCTTGTTCCTTATGCAGTGCTTATGGAATGTTCAGTTAATGAAATATACCTGTTAATCTGTTTTAGTTAGGCCAATTCAGTTGATAAAGTTTGTATATAATTTTTACAAATTTCTTTAGTGGTAACTTTGTTTTGTTAAATCTTTTTTAATTAAACCTTTTTGAATGTACATATGAATATGTCCAAGGCTGGGACACTGAAGCTGTAGCTAGTAGTGGAGAAGAGATGGCAGGATAAATGTTTAAAATTTTCACTGAAGACCACTTCTTTCTTGGCTGGAGCCTGTTTTCTATCCAGTTCTAAGCCTTGCTTACTGTTTTGGTTGAGTCCTCATCTAACTCATGGCATTTACATTTTGGCTCAACTTTATTACTCCCGTGCCAGTAAAAAAAAGCAGATTTTGTGTTTTGCAAACAAAACTAATCACAACCAAATTGATAAGTTAACAAATATTTATTTAAATATCCACTGTATGCCACATACATTATCTTCAATCCTTATACCAGGTAGACATCATTAACTCCTCCCCTTCCCCTTTTTTTATTATCCCCTTTTTAAAAGTAAGAAGACTGAAAGGTTAAATGATTTGCCCAAAGTCATACACCAAACATTTAGCAGAGCTGGGAATCAAACCCTGTTCTGCCTAGTTTTAAAACTCATTATCTTTTCCTCTGAGACATCCCTTTAAGACACATCTTCAACGTGAGAGCTTAGTCTGATTGTGATAAGACCTACAAAACCAGGAAAGATCTAAGTTATAGTAAAAGTTAGCAGTAAAAGAAATGTGACAAAGTTAGTCGAATTTGCTCTGATTGGTTTTGTGAAGTGACCTGGGTTTAAGTACTTGCTCTGTCACTAATTAGATTATGATCTTGGACAAGTTACTTTTCTGAGCCCAGATTTCTTCATCTATTAAATGAGGTTATTACTGGTTATAAAGATTAAATGAAATACTACAAAATTCCTGACACATAGAAGGTACTGGATATTATTAAGTGTCTGGCCAGGAAACAAATGAGTCACTTCTCTGTGTTGTTTACACCTCAGCTTTTCTTTCTTTGGCTCTTGGGCTGTCCAAGGTCTCCAAAGGCCCAGGCAAAGATCGCTTAAAGGAGTAGGTTTCAAAAAGGTTGTCTAGAAAGTACTTTTGCCTGAGGGAAAGTCATTTTAGGAAACTTCTCTTTGATTTTATTTTTTTTTCTTGCGATTACAGTTAGCCCTAGCTCTCTAAGGGAAATTAAGCCAAGGAGAGAAGTACAGAGTTGAAAAAGAAAAGAAAGATTATCAGGGAACTGAACATCTGAGGCACCTGCAAAACCCTTTCATTGTTTTTAGGCTGCATGACTGTGTCTGAGTGTGTAAACTGTATTTCACAAAATTTTATCAAAATCAGCCCTTCTTTGTTTAAATGAATTGCCCCCCCCCCACCCCCGCAATTGTTAGGAAACAGCATATAACAGAAAAGGCATGGGGATTTAATCCTTATTCTGGTACTTTAACAGACCTAGGGGTGGTTGTTTAACTTCTCTGAGTTTCCTTTTGTCAGTTGTAAAATGGGAATAGTACCTCCTACTTCACTGAGTATTTTGTTTGTTTGAGATAAACAAGGTAGCATTTGTACAGTGATATATATATATAGACACTGAATAATTGTTTAGTCTACTCCCCTCCTAAACATCGAAGCTAATCCTTCTTGAAGGCTCAAGTTGCTTCTTAGTCTCTTGCTTTCTAGGGTAAAATCCCCTGATTCTGTTATCTTTTTAATTCTCCGTCAGTCTTAAATCATTGTTTTTTGAATTCTCTGAAGATGTTTTCATGTTCTCAAAAGAATTGTGAGAAAAATTGGATAAAAGGATTCTAAGATCTGACTAGTTTAAAATATAGCAGAAGGTTACATGTTATAGGAAGGCTGTGAATTCACAGTGTGCATTATATTGCATATAAAGAAACCTTTCTACTGGGTTCAGTTTTGCAGTCCTGCTTCTATAGGAATACAACAGATTAACAAAAGTTTGAGTCTTATCTCTTGCACCAACCAAGAAAGGTTTTTGGAAAGTGGTATAAAATACAGCTGAAGGGCCTAGTTAGATGATAAAACCCATCGCGGTCGAGTCGATTCCAACTCATAGCGACCCTGTAGGACATGTCAGAACTGCACCGGAGGGTTTCCAAGGCAGACTGCCACATCTTTCTCCCTCAGAGAGCGGGTGGATTCAAACTGCCGACCTTCTGGTTAACAGCTGATGCTTAACCACTGTGCCACCAGGGCAATTAGAAAACACAGAGGGGCACAGATAAAATGAGGTATGTAATTTGTTCCACATTGTTACAAACTACGCAGTGATGTTTTCAGATCAGAATTTTGGAGGCTTTGTTGCTGTAGGACTTTTCAGGATTGAGTACCCAACTTTCCTGCTTGGAAACTCAAGAAGAGGTGTATTCAGGTGGTAGCCTCAAAAGGAGTGACCAGGAAAAATTAATATTAGCAATAGGCGGGGAGGGGTAGAGGTCCGGGTATACCACCAATAAAATGGTAAACACAGGGTGTTGAATGAAGCATTTGGTCTGTTTTAAGGTCAAATTTGTTTTCTGTTCAAAGCAGTGAAATATAGGAATGTGAAGGCTCTGTCATTTACAGTTCTTCTGAAAGGATAAAGGGTTTAGTTAAGAATATCTACAAATATGATTAGCAGTTTAAATTGTCAGAAAACGAGAGTGTGCTTTGAGGCATAAGTAGGTCAGTGAGCTCTATGTATACTACAGGATGTGACATAACATCTAACAGAAGCCTGCAGTTTGAAATTCTGAGCTTTTGTGAAGTCTGTCAGAGTCAAAGCTTTCCTTCATCTGTGTACTTCACTGCTGGACTTAGTCTAAAAGTTATTTTTAAAAACTGTTAAGGGCATAGAATTTTGAAATGTATTTGAAATAGGGTATCTTTGCCTCTTAGACCAGTGGTTTTCAAAGTGTGGTCCCTAGACTAACAACAGAAACATCACTTGGTAACTTGTTAGAGATGCAAATTCCTAACACAAATCCCATACCTGCTCAATCAGAAATTTGGGGTGAAGCCCAGCGATCTAGTTTAACAAGCCTTCCAGGTGATTTTGATGCATACTGAAGTTTGAGAACCCTTGCCTTATCTTTTAGAGCAGAGGCTTCAAACCCGTTCTGGTTCAAACCCCTGCTGAGAATTTGCATTTCTAACAAGTTGCTGGAGGTGATGCTAATGCTGCTGGTTAGGAACCAATTCTGAGAACCAGTAGTAGAGCAGTGATTCTCAAAATTTGTTATACATAAGAATCACCTAGGGATCTTGTTAAAATGTAGATTCTGATTCAGTATATCTGGGGGTGGAAATTAAAATTCTCAGCAGGGGTTTGAACCAGTTCCATGCCCTGGTTAGAGTTCCTATCATAACACTTAACTATACTTCATTTCCACCCCCATAGCCTGGGAACTCCAGTGTATAAACATAGTAGGGATAGAGACAATGTTTGACTTGCCTTTATTGTATCTCCTGTGCTTTGCAAAGTAGGTGTCTGGCCCTTAGTAAATTTCCCATAGTGGTTAATGATCAGACTTGTATCTCTCCCTTTATATGCCTCTATATAGGATGCTCAACGTTTGCAATCACTTAATGATCAAATGATTGAAGTTCCGTAATGATAGAGAATCTTCTAACAATTGGATACCCAGGTTCTGTCTGATCAGGGCTAAAGAAACTGTTCTGTCTTTATAGCAACCACATGAAATATCGCCTTCATTTTACAAATGATGAAACCAAAATTCAAAGAAATTAAATAACTATTCTAAGTTCACAAAACTAGTAAGAGGCAGAGTCAGGAACCAGGTCTTTCAGACTCTTTAAGAACTGCCATCTAAAGCACTACTGTCACAGTGAAATGGTAATGGGTTTCATTAAGATACAACTATACTTTTTCTTGATATAAATGTTTATGTATTTATTTTTTAGTTCTTTTGTCCTCTTTTCCCCTGTCACTCCCATTAGTTTGTTTAATTAGCTTATTCTCAAACATTTGAATGCCTCTTATTAGAGGCTCCAGGCGGGGATAGAAGAACAAACTGCTCTTACAGAACCCAGCTTTGGGTTTCCTATTTGGCGCTTTCAGTCAGTCTCTCCCTGAAATCAGCACTGTCAGTCTAAACCATTTGACCTCATTCATACAGTAAGCAAACTTGTAAATTTGCTTTTATTTACTAGAGCAAAAATAAATTGAATTCACTTTGTCTCATTCAGAAATTGAGAAGATTCAGAAAGGGGATTCAAAAAAGGATGATGAGGAGAATTACTTGGATTTATTTTCTCACAAGAACATGAAGCTAAAGGAGCGGGTATTGATACCTGTCAAGCAGTATCCCAAGGTAAGGCGAAAAGTACGTTGCTATTTTGAGTTATCTTTGTAGGTGTGAGAGTCATGGGCTGTAATAAAGACTTTTGGGGGTTGTGATACATCAGAAACTTGAGCCTGTGAAGCTGCTCTTCCATGCTTGCGGTGCCTGTTTCTGGCACTGGTCATGAGTCTAAGTCAATAACTAATAGCATAGCTGTAGCCAGGAAAGAAGTATAGTCATCTTATCAAAAAGAGCTCCTTTCTCAAGTGTTTGTTCAGGCTTTGCGGAAGGTTTAAAGAAATAATTGAACCCTGAAGAGTTGCTGTCTGTCAAAAGATTGGCCTAAAATCGTTATGTGCCGTCGAGTCAGTTCCGATTCATAGCAACGCTGTGTACAACAGAACAAAATGCTGTCCAGTCCTGCGCCATCCTCACAGTTGTTGTTATGCTTGAGCCCACTGTTGAGCCACCGTGTCGGTCCATCTCATTGAGAGTCTTTCTCTTTTTTGCCAACCCTCTACTTTACCAAGCATGATGTCCTTCTCCAGAGACTCATCCCTTCTGATAGCATGTCCAAAGTATGTGACATGAAGTCTTGCCATCCTTGCTTCTAAGGAGCATTCTGGCTGTACTTGTTCCAAGGCAGATTTGTTTGTTTTTCTGGCAGTCCATAGTATATTCAGTATTTTTCACCAATACCATAATTCAAAGGCATCAGTTCTTCTCCGGTCTTCCCTATTCGTTGTACAGCTTTCACATGCACATGAGGCCACTGAAAATACCATGACTTGGGTCAGGTGCACCTTGGTCCTCAAAGTGACATCTTTGCTTTTTAACACTTTAAAGAGGTCTTTGACAGCAGATTTGCCGGATGCAATATGTTGTTTGATTTCTTGACTGCTGCTTCCATGGGCATTGATTAGATCTAAAAATCATTAAATAAGAGGAAATGTACAGTAACACAAATCTTTTGAACTGTATAAAGTTAATTTTATTTCTTACTCAAGGTTTACTTTTAAGCAAATACTTGCTTTATCCTTTGTTTATTTTAGGGAAAGCAATAGTTACATTTAGCTTACTAAACTACTGCTACCAAAGAGTGCCATATGTCTGTTTTGTTCTGAGGTCACTGCCTTAAAAACATTTATATAAAGTACAGAGGGTTACAGTGTGATATTATGGAAAGAGCACCGGACTGCATCAGGAAACTCAAATTCAAGTCTTGGAACTGCCACTTTCTAGATGGGTAACCTTATGTTAATCACTTTATCAGTATAGCCTCAGTACATCTTTCAGTAAAATGGGAATGGTAATACTCTGCCTATTTTACAGGGTTATTGAAGATCAAATGAGATAATGTATATAGAAACATTTTATAGGAACATGTGTATTTAGAGACCTGTTCTTTTATTTTCTGTCAGTTTAATTTTGTGGGGAAGATCCTTGGACCACAAGGGAATACAATCAAAAGACTTCAAGAAGAGACTGGTGCAAAGATCTCTGTGTTGGGAAAGGGCTCGATGAGAGACAAAGCCAAGGTAAGCTCAGCATTGATGAGGTAAGAGGATGCCCTGGTGCCTTCTAGTTGCCTAGAGCCCAGTATGGATGTCTTATGGAAGCAAGCGTTTTATGTAGGTACAGAATGTGACTCCGTTGAGTTGGATGCAAGAGATTATAGACCAAGTTAATTTACTTGCTTTGCAGCCCTGGAAGGACTCAGATGTGCCCCAGCAGATGCTCTTTCTGACTTGACTGCATAGTAATGGAAAGAGCAGTAGCAACTTTGGCATTAGTGAACTTATCTGTAAAAACTTGGAAGGAGAACTGGATGTCCTAAAACTTACCCAGACTGAAGGCTGTAAAATGTGAACAGCACATCTCCTTTCAGTAACACTGAAAAGTGAGAGCAGTAGTGTAACGAGTATAGGTGAGTTTCAGGATTAGTTGATTTATTTTCCAGCCAGTAGGAATATGAGGCCTGTTAAATGAATGTATACCAAAGGGGAACCATAAGTAATTCTGACAACAGAATCTAATGCTTCTTTTTATTCCCCCTGTGCTAAACAGCCCCATATAATGTGTACTCTTTGTAAGTGCCAAGAAACTTTCCACCGAAACAGAATAATCTTAGCCTTGTAGGGTCAACTTTTTAGATGAGATATTACCTGCTACAGTTTAAAAGATTGCTCTTCCATGCCCCCTTTAAGCGGCCTAGTTGGCAAACATTGTTTTCTCAGACCATCTTCTTTTGTCCAGAGGACAGATAGGAATCCACTTAGGGCTGAAGTATGTTTGTCTAGCTAGTGAAACTTACATGAGCTTTTCTGTCTGTCCTAACATCTTTTCTCTCCCAGAACTCTCCCAATCAGATAAGCAGAGCTGGTGATTAGCAACTCTACCTAGGATTTAAAAAGAAGTGCTTGGCAAATAGCTGTTCTCTAAATGGAGACTGAAATTAAGCTTTTCTCTTTCATGCCTTTTAATAAGAGCTCCACTTGATACCTCAGGGATTCAAGGCAACAGTTAACTATTAGCAGCAGACCAAGTGAAAGTTTAGCAGCTTGTGTATATTACTGTTCTTCAGAACTTGTTTTACTTTTGTCTTAAACTTTACTGTTTTTCTTAGATATTGGGGTTATTTCTTGCTGACCCTTTGGCCTACAGGTATGGGTGTCATTTTCTCCCTAGTCCATGTGATGTGATGTTGGTCTACATTTTTCCACAGGAGGAGGAACTGCGCAAAGGTGGAGATCCCAAATATGCCCACTTGAATATGGATCTGCATGTCTTCATTGAAGTCTTTGGACCCCCGTGTGAGGCTTATGCTCTTATGGCCCATGCGATGGAGGAAGTCAAGAAGTTTCTAGTACCAGTAAGAAAGTCCATGCCCTGTATTTTTGGAGCAAGGGAGAGCTGGGCTCTTCTGCTGTTGCTAAGGCAGGGCTTCTTAACCGGGGTCTGCATAATCAGAGCTTGTATACTAAGTTGTGCAGTTACATTCATTTTTCTGACGTGGTCCTTTACTTGTACCTAGTTCTCAAAGCATTGTGCACAAGTGCTCCTGGAGTGTGTATTTGCCTGTGATAGAGCCTACATTGAGCTGTTATTGTGACCCAAGGCCACTCTACCCTTCCTTGTGTAAAGTGGTTTTAGTTTTGTGCCCATATCTGTTGTCAGTGTCTTGGGTCTACAGTGTGTCTAGCATTCTAATATCCAGTTAGCAAAGATTTAACAAGCTAAGTATTTTGGCTCTAGTGTGAAACCAGGAGGTTGTGTTAGGAAAATGACTAAGCTGGATCCCTACACTCAAGGGGTTTATGCTTTAGACTCTAAAGAGTTTAGAGGATAATAGCAAAAAACTTACAGAACCCAGTGTATAATCTATTAAATTCTGACCTGGTGCATTCAGGGTATTCTGTCCTAAAAGAGTTTTACTCAAGTAGAGTTTGGTTTGGAAGAGGCATGATTATTAGAGGCTTGGCTGTTGATATCAAACAGTTTGGTGTATAGCTTCTTTCAGACTATAACTGAGACCCAGGAAGAGTTGGGATAGGCCAGGTTATCTGTCTTGCTAATTACCACCTAATCATAGGGTCCGTTCTTTGAATAAATAGAAAATGGTGCCATTTTTACTTCTTAACAAGGCCTGGTGATAGTCAGAGTTAACATGCTACTGCTGAATATTTAATACTAAGGGTAAATCTGGAACCTTAGGATTTGGAGTACTTTTCATCTAGAATTGAGCAAGTTTCATGTTTTCATCACTGAAACTAAGAGGAGGTGAGGTACAATATTTGGTTTTCTTGCATGTAGAATGAAGGAGTTGGAACTAGATGTGGTGTCAAAAGATGTGAGAATTGGTAGAGCAATAATTTATAGGCAGTGTGTCCCCATAATGCTGAGCTCCAAAGATTCTAACTCTGTCTCAAATGTCTCAGCATCTGCTTTACTTCCAAGAACTTCATCTTCACTGGAAGGCTCAAAATGAAACACCCAATTTAAAATGTCCTAGAGAAAATCTCAGAGCTGGTAAATTTTCCCTGGGAGAATTCTCTTTACTCTTTTTGAGGTATTCTATTAAAGCATCCTGAGCTACCAAAATTCTGAAGGATTGCAGAGGGAATGCACATCTCTTCTTTATTATTAGTTTCTAGCATATTTCTTAGAAGGGATAGATTACAAGACTTCCATCTTTGAAAAGGATGCCTGCCAGGGAGACCTGGGTTTTCTTAGTGTTGATGTGGCAGTTGGAGAAATCTGAGCAAATGGGCTGGCATTGGTTACCTGCTTCTCCAATGTATAAGTCTCAAGCAGCAATGGAGTATAAGGTAGGGGGAGGTGGAGAGTTAAGGGAGGCATCTCTGTAGTAACTGTTGTTGTGTTAGGTGCCGTCAAGTCGACTTTAACCCTGTGTACAACAGAGTGAAACACTACCTGGTCCTGTGCCATCCTCAACAATCGTTTCTGTGTTTTAGCCCATTGTTGCAACCACTGTGTCAGTCTGTCTCATTGAGGGTCTTCCTCTTTTGCACTGACCCTCTGCTTTACCAAGCATGATGTCCTTCTCCAGGGACTAGTCCTTCCTGATAACATGCCCAAAGTACGTGAGATGAAGTCTCACCATCCTCACTTCTAACCAGTGTTCTGGCTGTCGTCTTCCAAGACACATTTGTTCATTCTTCAATGGTATATTCAGTATTCTTTGCCAACACTATAATTCAAGGGCATCAATTCTTCTTTGATCTTCCTCATTCATTGTCCAGCTTTTGCATGCGTATGAGGTGATTGAAAATACATGGCTTGGGTCAGGCGTACCTTAGCCCTCAAAGTGACATTTTTGCTTTTTTTTTCTTTTTTTTTTCAACAGTAACACACATGCTGTTTTATGACATTGGTTAACAACCCCACAACATTTTAACCCTCTAAATTCTCAACTTTTTTTTTTTCTTTTGGTGAAACACATAGCCAAAGATACGCCATTTCAAAAATTTTTTTACATACACATTTAAGTGACGTTGACTACGCTCTTCTAATTGTGCTGTTATTCTCACTTAAGATGAAGGCTTACAG